GGCGGCGGTGCCAGGAAAGGGGCAGGGAGCAAGGTGCTGGCGGCGCTAGGTTTCCTGGAAGCGGAGCGAGGCGTGCAGCGGCTCCGTGCGCTTGCTAAGGCCGGGCCAGTGCACTTCCTGCTGCGGCCCCCTAGTCCCTGCGCGTGGTCCAGCAGCAGCTCCCCCCGCTGCCCTCCCGGAGCAGAGAGCGGGCGCCCCTGAGAGCAGGGCCAGCGCCAGTGGCTTTCAGACACTCCCGAGCTCGACAGAAATTGGGCAGCCGCTGGAGCTCAGCTTCTCCTTTCCAGCAAGGTAGGTTACAGCTGATGCATCTGAAGCCAAGCCATGCCCGCCTTTGACTGTGCAGAGAGATGGGCTATGTCTAGACTGCAAGCCTCTTTCGAAAGAGAGCGTCTAGACTGCACGTTGAACTTTCGAAAAAGCGGCTTGCTTTTTCGAAAGAAAGCATCCTGTGAGTCTGGATGCTCTCTTTCGAAGAAGCCCTATTTACATTGAAGAACGCCTTCTTTCGAAAGAGGAACTTTCGAAAGAAGGCGTTCTTCCTTGTGAAATGAGGTTTACCGCCATCGAAAGAAAAGCCGCGTTCTTTCGATTTAATTTCGAAAGAACGCGGCTTGAGTCTGGACGCAGGGGAAGTTTTTTCGGAAAAAGGCTACTTTTCCCGAAAAAACCCCTGAGTCTGGACACAGCCATGCAGAGTAGGTCCAGGGGAGGTTTCCTAATGACGGTGCCTAATATACAGCATTTCTGGTTAAAAATCCAGTACTGGAAAACCTCTGGAAACTGGGATTTCCTTTCTTTGTTCCTCCCTGGCTCAGGAGGAAATGAATCTTCAGAGCAACAGCATTCTTCTCTTCTTTGGTGAAATATCACAAGTTTTGCTGGCACTGCTTGAGAGCTTTATGGGTCAGATACTTGGTGGGGGAGGTAGCTTTGCTTTAGAGCAAAATATACTCCCATGTTTTACAGATAAACTAACAGATTAGATCAGGGTTCTTCCTCCTACGTAGGAATAAACTCATACTAAACTGTCATTATATAAGTGATAAATGAATAGGCATGCAATAAGAAGGGAAAGAATATTGCAGAAGTACTATATAATGGAAGCAATCACTTAGGAATGAGAAAAAATATGCTCACAGGAATTTTAGTTTAAAGAAATAACTTTACTTATACTGCAAATTGAGGGCCTCATGTTAAAGTCAGTAGGAGTCATCCCAATGAATTTAACAGTAGATGGGTCAGAACCTGAAAGTATTAGCTACTACTTTAAAAATATTAACCAAATATTAATCAAATAAAGCCATTGCAATAATAACGATGTGCTCTGCATAACTAAAATATTAATAATCAGATCTGATTAAAATAGGGATTCTACTTTTGAATTTGAAAATTGCACCTGCTGTGTACTGTACCCTGTGTGCCTTTTTCAGAAAATAGTTTCTCAACACCTGTCTAATGTCAATTGTAGCATAGAAAAGGAAGTTTGTTAAAATAGTTTCCATTGCTATCATAAATGAATTTTTTTCATGTTAAGTATTTTTTTTAGTTTTAGGAGATTTTATTAATCATGATCTAGCTATCCATAATATAGTAGCATATGGAAGTGAATATTGATTCCATTAGTAAAAGAGGATTACAGATTGAAAATGAAAAGACCTGAAAATAATTTAAATAGTTGTAAATTTACTTAAAAATTAATGTAATTATTCTTCACTTTATGCACTAAGCAACCTATGAAAGACTACAGGCAGTCCCTGGGTTACTCTAGAGCAACTCTGCCTCCGGCTTCCTGTAGTCAGCCGCTGGTCAGTTTCAGCAGCGGCTGACTTGGGGACGCCTGGGGCAGAGCAGCTGGGGTGCTGCCGGGTTGGTCCAGTAGCGCCGAGGAGCGGTGCTGCGGGACCAACCCGGCAGTGCCCCAGCTGCTCTTGGGGACGCCTGGGGCAGAGCAGGACGGGTGCTACCGGGGTGGTGTCGGGGGGGTTTAATGTATACAGTACAGGCAGTCCCCGAGTTACGCGGATCCGACTTATGTCGGATCTGCACTTGCGGGGTTTTTCTCGCCCTGGAGGACGGGAGCAGCGGACCGCAGCGCATCTGGGTGGTCCCGCCGCCCGCGTCCTCCGGGGCGAGAAAAGCCCCGTTCGTAAGTACGGATCCAACATAAGTCGGATCTGTGTAACTCGGGGACTGCCTGTACTCCAAGTAGGATCAAATGTAGCCCAGATGTGTAAGGGAAATATATTAGTTGTATTAGTTATATAACTATGTATTCTTATTGTTGGAAATAATACAACTCCAGTTCTCTTGCATAGTTGGATCAATAATTGCCTAAGAACTGTAGCATGATGCTATGCAAATATTACTCCATTTAATAATTATGTTTTTCCTCTGTTAAGCAGTTGTAATGATGTGTGACTATAATTACAGAGGCAATTCCATGCCCAGTGTAACTGGTGATGAAATTTGACCCAGTACTTTGCTAGTTTGCTGCTATGTGTCTATACATGTTTATTATAATTTCTTTTGATAAAACTGATTACCTAAAATAAAGGGGAAAAATACTTCCTCTAGGCGTCAACACATTTTCTGTACTTAATAACTTGTTATGAACTAGGTTGAAACCTGTTATAAGTTGAGTTGAAACCCCCTTGACATTGAGAAGGGTAAATTTATCCTTCATTTAATATAGCTGTGAGCATAAGCTCTCACCTAAAGCAACTTGCCCTGCATGACTCTGCCTAGAAGCTTTTGTGTGAGTATTATCGTGGGTAGGCTGTGTATGTAAACAGGTCTCACATGAACTGAAGACAAACTTATGAGTTTGTGTGTACAGATCATATACAAACTGAGGACAGATAGTGAGAGAGGCAAAAAAAAGCCAAGTAGGAGCCTAAGCATATTGGGACCCTGGAAAAAAAGCTAGAGAGAGCACTTTTGGATTGGAGTTGGCTCATGAGATTTGGGGGTAAGGGGTGGGAGTATATACACTTTTTCTCCACTACCACTGTTGTTGGTAAAGTTTTGTTAGCCAGGGGTATGAAAAAAACCCACGCCACAGACTGACATAATTGTCACTGGCAAAAATGCTGGTGTGGACGGGAGGGACGTCAATGTGTAGTCGACTACAGGATTAACTGATACGCCTGGGTTTATCGGTTAATCTTGCCAACTACATGCATTTTCCCCTGCTTCTCCCCCGCTGTCTCTGTATCAGAGGCAGCACAGGGGGAGGAGTGGGAGCCGGTGCCCCTAAAGAGCTGGCTTTAAGTAGTCTCCCCACAAGCACCCGATCTGCCTGCCCTCTCCTCCATGCACTGCTACCTCTGATAGAGAAGAAGCAGTGCAGACAGTGAGGTGGGCAGGCTGGAGCTGATAAACGCAGGGATCCAGCTTTCAAGCAGGCTCCCCTGGCTTGCCGGCTCCCCGGATCTGCTTGCCCTACTCCTTGCTGCCTCCTACAGAGTCAGCAAGGGTGGGGGGCAGCCAGGAGATGGTGCTAGGCGGAGCCAGATTAAAAGCCGGTTCCCCCCAGCACCAGATCAGTGGTGCCGCCTGCCCCCCATCCTGCGCTGCTGCCTCTTTTAGTCCAGCTCTCTGCAGACAAAGGCTGGTCCACGGCAGCAGCTCCTGTCTGTGGGGGGTCCAAGCTTCCTGGGAACAGGGACTGCTGCCACCTTGCACTGCTGCTTCTGTATCAGAGGCAGCAGCATAAGACAGCATTTCTTAAATTAACTCCCCTGGCGGACCGGCTCCCACCTGCCACCTTGTGCTGCTGTCTCTGTATCAAAGGGGGATGGTAGGGGGCTCCCCGGGAATGGGGTTGGGAGCACACTGGCTGCCAGCCCCGCCCCCACCTCTATTGAATAGTCGTGTAGCCATTTCATGCAGTTACACGACTATTCATTTACCCGACATCCCTAAAAGTAACAGTTGTAATTTATTTCGTGGCTACAGTTTTCAATGCATCAGACCAACCAATTTCATTCATGGCATGAACAAATGGTGCAAATGATCATATCAATATTCTTTTCAGCAGCAGGTTTGCTGAATTTACAGTTAACTTAGATAAGCTGTTGTAAATCAGTCAGTAGGCCTGCTTCCACCTAGCTGCAATAGCAGCCATGTATGCTATTTATCAGGTTTCTTTCCAGCAGCTGGAGATGGAACCACATCTGGCTCCATTTAGAAGTAAGTCATGCTGAGGTTATGAAATTTTTTATTACTTAAAAATTATATGATTTTAAATGTCAGGCTTTGCACGGTGTGGGCGGGATGCCTGCAGTTTCTCAGCCAGAATAAAACCATGTTATTGAGGAGCGCTCTGAAGACAGACGAGCTGAAAACATGGGTTTTTTTAAACAATACACCAGAGGTTTACAATCTGTTATGTGCATTTAATTGGCTTTTAGTTTATATGTGTATTGATATACTCTACATTACTGCCTCATCACTCCTCCCTATTACCACTGTTCTAGCCCTAACCTGCAAGCTCCCTGGTGCGGCTGTATGACAGTAACACCAAAGGACAGCAAGTGCTAGGAGCTGTACAAACACATAACGAAAAACAGTCTGTGTCCTGAAGTGAGCTCAGTCTAGAAAAGACACACAAAGGATGGGTGGGGACTCTTTCTGCAGCAAGAGCAGGGTGATTTGCAGCTTAGGTAGCCATACCCACACTAGGGTATGTCTACACTACATGGCTCCATCGATGGAGCCATGTAGAGGAGCTTTGTAGACATAGCAAAATGAAGTGGCAATTTAAATAATCGCTGCTTCATTTACATCAAAATGGCTGCCGCGCTGTGCTAATCAGCTGTTTGGCGGCGCAGCGCGGGAGTCTGGACGCTCGGCGGTCGACATCAAAAGCCTTTGTCAACCATCCCGGTAAACCTCATCCCACGAGGCATAACGGGGCAGTCGACAAAGGCTTTTGCTGTCGACCGCCGAGCGTCCAGACTACCGCGTTGTGCCGCGAAACAGCTGATCGGCACCGTGCAGCAGCCATTT